CATTTTGACAAAGTTATGCGATTTTTAAACTTTGGTTGTTCCAAAAAATATGATATAGAAAAATCCCTTACAAAAAAATTATCATATAAAAATATCAATTTTAGGAATCTTGCTGAGGAAAATATAATTTTTTACAGTGAAGGAGCCATTTCCGACCCTATAAATCATACATATTCTTGATCTGCATTACCAGGCGAATCGTTCTAGCCATCTCAGGAAGCAAAAGAACCATTTTAAATTTTTTCTAAAAAATTTAAGGGGTTGCATCGTTAAAATGTGCAAAAATTAAAAAAAATATTTGAATACCTTAAAAAGGAAATTTGGTATGCAGAATTGTTAATCGCCAAACAACTAATTTAGAACCGCTTTCCGAATTGAAATTATGGCATTTTTGACAAAGTTATGCGATTTTTAAACTTTGGTTGTTCCAAAAAATATGATATAGAAAAATCCCTTACAAAAAAATTATCATATAAAAATATCAATTTTAGGAATCTTGCTGAGGAAAATATAATTTTTTACAGTGAAGGAGCCATTTCCGACCCAATAAATCATATATATTCTTGATTAGCATTAACAGGCGAATCGTTTGGCCATCTTTGGTAGCAAAACAGACATTTCCAATTTTTTGAAAAAAATTCAAGGGGTTACATCGCAAAAATCAAAAAAAAAATTGGATCTCCTAAAAAGTTAAATTTAGTATGCAGATTTGTTAAACACCAAACAACTAACACAGAACGCTTTCCGAATTGAAATTAATGCATTTTTGACAAAGTTATGCGATTTTAAACTTTGGTTGTTCCAAAAAATATGATATAGAAAAATCCCTTACAAAAAAATTATCATATAAAATATCAATTTTAGGAATCTTGCTGAGGAAAATATAATTTTTTACAGTGAAGGAGCCATTTCCGACCCTATAAATCATACATATTCTTGATCTGCATTAACAGGCGAATCGTTCTAGCCATCTCAGGAAGCAAAAGAACCATTTTAAATTTTTTCTAAAAAATTTAAGGGTTGCATCGTTAAAATGTGCAAAAATTAAAAAAATATTTGAATACCTTAAAAAGGAAAATTTGGTATGCAGAATTGTTAATCGCCAAACAACTAATTAGAACCGCTTTCCGAATTGAAATTAAGGCATTTTTGACAAAGTTATGCGATTTTTAAACTTTGGTTGTTCCAAAAATATGATATAGAAAAATCCCTTACAAAAAAATTATCATATAAAATATCAATTTTAGGAATCTTGCTGAGGAAAATATAATTTTTTACAGTGAAGGAGCCATTTCCGACCCTATAAATCATACATATTCTTGATCTGCATTACCAGGCGAATCGTTCTAGCCATCTCAGGAAGCAAAAGAACCATTTTAAATTTTTTCTAAAAATTTAAGGGGTTGCATCGTTAAAATGTGCAAAATTAAAAAAAATATTTGAATACCTTAAAAAGGAAAATTTGGTATGCACAATTGTTAATCGCCAAACAACTAATTTAGAACCGCTTTCCGAATTGAAATTAAGGCATTTTGACAAAGTTATGCGATTTTTAAACTTTGGTTGTTCCAAAAAATATGATATAGAAAAATCCCTTACAAAAAAATTATCATATAAAAATATCAATTTTAGGAATCTTGCTGAGGAAAATATAATTTTTTACAGTGAAGGAGCCATTTCCGACCCAATAATCATATATATTCTTGATTAGCATTAACAGGCGAATCGTTTTGGCCATCTTTGGTAGCAAAACAGACATTTCCAATTTTTGAAAAAATTCAAGGGTTACATCGCAAAAATCTAAAAAAAATTGGATCTCCTAAAAGTTAAATTTAGTATGCAGATTTGTTAAACACCAAACAACTAACACAGGAACGCTTTCCGAATTGAAGTTAATGCATTTTGACAAAGTTATGCGATTTTTAAACCTTGGCTGTCCCAAAAAATACTACAAAATTAAAAAGTACAAATTTCGATTTTAAGAATTTGCAGAGGAAAATATAATTTTTTTCAGTGAAGGAGCCATTTCCGACCCTATAAATCATATATATTCTTGATCAGCATTAACAGGCGAATCGTTCTAGCCATCTCAGGAAGCAAAAGAACCATTTTAAATTTTTCTAAAAAATTTAAGGGGTTGCATCGTGAAAATGTGCAAAAATTAAAAAAAATATTTGAATACCTTAAAAAGGAAAATTTGGTATGCAGAATTGTTAATCGCCAAACAACTAATTTAGAACCGCTTTCCGAATTGAAATTAAGGCATTTTTGACAAAGTTATGCGATTTTTAAACTTTGGTTGTTCCAAAAAATATGATATAGAAAAATCCCTTACAAAAAAATTATCATATAAAAATATCAATTTTAGGAATCTTGCTGAGGAAAATATAATTTTTTACAGTGAAGGAGCCATTTCCGACCCAATAAATCATATATATTCTTGATTAGCATTAACAGGCGAATCGTTTTGGCCATCTTTGGTAGCAAAACAGACATTTCCAATTTTTTGAAAAAAATTCAAGGGGTTACATCGCAAAAATCTAAAAAAAAATTGGATCTCCTAAAAAGTTAAATTTAGTATGCAGATTTGTTAAACACCAAACAACTAACACAGGAACGCTTTCCGAATTGAAGTTAATGCATTTTTGACAAAGTTATGCGATTTTTAAACCTTGGCTGTCCCAAAAATACTACAAAATTAAAAAGTAAAAATTTCGATTTTAAGAATCTTGCAGAGGAAAATATAATTTTTTTCAGTGAAGGAGCCATTTCCGACCCTATAAATCATACATATTCTTGATCAGCATTAACAGGCGAATCGTTCTAGCCATCTCAGGAAGCAAAAGAACCATTTTAAATTTTTTCTAAAAAATTTAAGGGGTTGCATCGTTAAAATGTGCAAAAATTAAAAAAAATATTTGAATACCTTAAAAAGGAAAATTTGGTATGCAGAATTGTTAATCGCCAAACAACTAATTTAGAACCGCTTTCCGAATTGAAATTAACGCATTTTTGACAAAGTTATGCGATTTTTAAACTTTGGTTGTTCCAAAAAATATGATATAGAAAAATCCCTTACAAAAAAATTATCATATAAAAATATCAATTTTAGGAATCTTGCTGAGGAAAATATAATTTTTTTCAGTGAAGGAGGATGCGGATTGTTAAGCTCCAAACAACTAACACAGGAACGCTTTCCGAATTGAAGTTAATGCATTTTGACAAAGTTATGCGATTTTAAACCTTGGCTGTCCCAAAAAATACTACAAAATTAAAAAGTAAAATTTCGATTTTAAGAATCTTGCAGAGGAAAATATAATTTTTTTCAGTGAAGGAGCCATTTCCGACCCTATAAATCATATATATTCTTGATCAGCATTAACAGGCGATATAAAGATATCAATTTTAGGAATCTTGCTGAGGAAAATATAATTTTTTACAGTGAAGGAGCCATTTCCGACCCTATAAATCATACATATTCTTGATCTGCATTACCAGGCGAATCGTTCTAGCCATCTCAGGAAGCAAAAGAACCATTTTAAATTTTTTCTAAAAATTTAAGGGGTTGCATCGTTAAAATGTGCAAAAATTAAAAAAATTTTGAATACCTTAAAAAGGAAAATTTGGTATGCAGAATTGTTAATCGCCAAACAACTAATTTAGAACCGCTTTCCGAATTGAAATTAAGGCATTTTTGACAAAGTAATGCGATTTTTAAACTTTGGTTGTCCCAAAAAATACTACAAAATTAAAAAGAACAAATTTCGATTTTAAGAATCTTGCAGAGGAAAATATAATTTTTTTCAGTGAAGGAGCCATTTCCGACCCTATAAATCATATATATTCTTGATCAGCATTAACAGGCGAATCGTTCTGGCCATCTCTGGAAGCAAAAGAACCATTTTAAATTTTTTCTAAAAAATTTAAGGGGTTGCATCGTTAAAATGTGCAAAAATTAAAAAAAATATTTGAATACCTTAAAAAGGAAAATTTGGTATGCAGAATTGTTAATCGCCAAACAACTAATTTAGAACCGCTTTCCGAATTGAAATTAATGCATTTTTGACAAAGTTATGCGATTTTTAAACCTTAGCTGTCCCAAAAAATACTACAAAATTAAAAGAACAAATTTCGATTTTAAGAATCTTGCAGAGGAAAATATAATTTTTTTCAGTGAAGGAGCCATTTCCGACCCTATAAATCATATATATTCTTGATCAGCATTAAGAGGCGAATCGTTCTGGCCATCTCTGGTAGCAAAACAGACATTTCCAATTTTTCGAAAAAAAATTCAAGGGGTTACATCGCAAAAATCTAAAAAAAATTGGATCTCCTAAAAAGTTAAATTTAGTATGCAGATTTGTTAAGCACCAAACAACTAACACAGGAACGCTTTCCGAATTGAAATTAATGCATTTTTGACAAAGTTATGCGATTTTAAAACCTTGGCTATCCCAAAAATACTACAAAATTATTAAGTACAATCTTCGATTTTAACTTCACAGTAAATGTCCAAGGCTGGCTTCCAGATTAAGCCAAGTTATCCGTTAGAAAATGTCTAGAAGAATCCCGCAATTTTTGAGGCCATCTCAGGAAACACTCTGAAATAGTTTATGAGCCACCCAAGAACCCATCCTCAAATCGTTTAACAATCATTAAGAAACCTTTGTATTTTAGGAACCTATACAATTTGATTTGTATCTCAGTTTTTACATTTATTTTTCATTTTCATTTTCATTAGAGGGGTGCACAACTCCATTGTTGTTCCATTTTGGATGCTGTTAGATTTTAGTGCGTGCTTTTAGTACGAAAATAAGAAACGAAACGAAATCAACAAACGATTAACAAACAACAAGAACAAGAAGGAAAGACGGCGGAAAGGCCAGTGCAACGAAGCGAATACAAAACTGAATTCTTGAGCGGATTAGATACGAGTTAGTTGTGGAAGCCGTGAACGCGAAGGATTAGGGAGCAGGTCGAAGGGTATCTTCTTCCTTCTCTCATTTCCGACGGGCGCTCAGCTGCTCGGTGTACATGTCCAGCCAAATGGCCTTCATCAGGTTATCGCCATCACCTGTCTTCCGCTGCGCCATAAGCGCCTCCTCGAACTTCCGGTTGCAGTCGCCATAGCAGTAGATGATGTAACCATCCCGGGCTGATCGCACCACAAACCACACGCACAACCCAGAGAAGAATATGCCGATATGTATGTAGATAATAAATATATATAGATAGATAGATAGATAGATAGATAGATAGATATGGGGTTTTGATGTCATCATCTTCACTTAGTACTTAAAGGGCAAGTTCTAGTGATGAGAGTATGCAAGTATGGAAATGTTTTGCATGGGATGAACTGTTCATTTCTTATTTGTAAGCAAGTATACTTTACTCACAAATGAGCAAACGAATACCTGAATATCTTTCTGAATGAACATCTGAGTGAATAAATATATGGACAAATAACAATCTGAGTGAATAAATCTCTGAGCTAATGAACATGTAAGTAAAAGAATACCTGCACAAATAAATATCTGAGCAAATGAGTATCTTAAAGGATAAATGAGTGACTAAACATTGAGTGTATAAACATCTAAGTGAATAAATATCTGAAGAAATAAAAATCTGGGCTAATGAGTATCTTAAAGAATGAACACCTGAGCAACTTAGTATCTAAGACAACCAATTATCTTAGTGAATGAATATCTGAATAAATAAACATCTCAATAAACGAAACTCTAGGCAAATGAACCTCTTCTTCTTTTTAAAAACAATCTCTGATATGACAATATGCGAAAATATTTCTCTGATAACTTTAAAAAGATTAAGAAACCCAAAAAAAATAAATAAATAAATCACACTCACGTGGTCGCGATGGGGGTGCTGAGGTCTCCTCTAGGATGCGTAGCTCAATCTCAATAGACTGAATCTCCGAATAGCCATGTTGCATTAGCTTCATAATCTTCTTGATAAATCCCACATAGTCTAGAGAAGAAAATACAAAAGGTACATCAAACAACATCCAGAGAACCAAATTTAATCGATTGCTCTTACCTCTGGGAAAGTCCTGCGGACTCACTAGCTCTTTGAAAAAGTCCTGGGCAATGTGAGCCTGCTTCTCATCGTTGGTCAACCAATCGCGGAACCAAAATCTCAGCGTGCGCGACTCCTGCGAATGTTTGCCCGTATTGGCACTGACCAGAAACACACGGAACTCTAGGGACAATGCCGCCGCCTTGGTGCCACTCTTCTGCCCGGCAACTGTATCCTTGTTAATGATGATTCCAGTGTGATCACCGCCGGCGACATGAACTCGATCATTGATCTCATCAATCAGCTTCCGTTCGATGAGGATCACCGTACTATTGGCGGTCTTGCCTCTGGGTGTCATCACGACCTGCTCTGTCCGTGGTGGCGACTGGCTCCTCTGGGTGCCGCCAGAGTTCTGAATTAGTTTGCCCTGTTCCTGGTCTTGGCCTGCGACAATTTTTGTGTAGCTGTTATTGCCATTCGGCAGGATTCCGTTACCGTTGCCGTTGCCATTTCCATTACCATTTCCATTTCCATTCGCCGTTGTCTGCGATTTATTTGGCTTGGGGGCGGTGGTGGCGGCGCCATCTGTGTGTGACTCCTGCGCTCTGACATGCTCCTGCTCCTGCTCCTAGTTCTCCTGGTGTTTCTTCAATCCGATACGATACCGTTGCTCCGGCTAACGTCCTTGAGCCCAAAACTTGCTGGTGCTGCCAAAAGAAAAGCAAAAGTTGACTGTCATTAGTGACTGGGTTACGGTGGAGCATGGTTAGGAGGGTAACATCCTAAATATCCTTACTTGTGGAAATATTATGAGCTAGATTATTTAATATACTTCATTATTTTCAACTTGAATTTGGAAAGAATTTAATAAGTAAAGTAACAGGGCCTGCTTAAACCTTTAAGTAACCCTTAATGGGATTTTCGATATGAATGCCTGAATAATCGATGGAACTTATCGCTAATATCGACATTGGTGCATTGTTTAGGGACATAAATCTGTTATCGAAATATATATAAATAAATTCTAGCCTTGTTACTTCTTGTTAACTAATAAATACAAGTATTTGTAAACAAGTAATTCCATTTTCGAGTTTACTAAGCTCTTAATCTATCTATATTATATTATCTTATATGAATAACAATGGTTAGTTTTATTTTTGTATATTTTCCTTTTAAAGGACTCTTCACTGTGTCTTTATTTTTAGCCCAGTATTCGCATTTTCATATTTTCCCCTCTTTGTTCCCTATCAGGCATATCAAATGTTACCTCCTTCCAATGCCGTCTGATTTCACGGCTTCTTTTTTCCAACCGTCTGTCTGTCTGTCTGTCCCCCTTGCTGTTTGTTGGCAATGATCCAAACAAATTTAGAATTCATAAATAATTGGTGTCATAAATCCACCACCCTCCTCTCTTCCCTCCCCCTGACAGCTACTTGCTGCGACCCAGTGACTTGGTTTTGGGCCTACAAACACAAAATAATAACAATAAAAGAGACCAAAACAAAGCGAAAGAATAAAAATCAATAAGAACTTGGTTACGCCAAGTGCCTGACAACCAAATATATATATATATTTATATTTACATATATATATATAGAGGAAAAGTGGGAGCAATGTGGAAAACCACCTGCCACCCCCCAGCAATTAAAGGCAAAAGCAAACTTCCGCCCGAAATGTCACCAAACCGCCACAAAAAGGTTTTTGACCTCACGCCCGACCCCCCCGGGGGAGAAAAGTGTCTGTGCGATGCACTTAGAGAAAGCTTCCATACCATTTATGTGTGTGTGGAAAATTGTTTTTGGAAAATTGAGCAGAAAGCGGGTTGAATAGGGCCGGCGACTTCCTGTTGAAAAATTTGCATAGGACAAACACAAACCCCTCGGGGGTTAGAGGTGAGAGTTAGAGTAGGAAAAGCGGTGGAAAAACTCTAAGGAAAAGGCAATGGGAATGAACTGAAGCGGCAAAAGAAAACCTCACGAATGGAAAATGCCGAGGAAATGGAAATTTACATATTTTTTTTCAAGGCGAGTCCTTAGAATTCTAGGACACAGAGGTATGTTTTAATCTAATGGGTAATAATTATCAAAGGTAGCTTCAAATTATATTTTAATTATTCAAAGTTCTTGTAAAATATTACATTAATAATATATAAATTAATTGGTTTAAAAATACAAGTGATTTGTATATATTTGGACAAAGTTTTATAAAGACTTGTTTAAAAAAATTATTATGTCAAAAATAATTGAAAATTGCATTGCTTGCTTGATGATGTCAAAAATTGAGACAATATCCACTCATTGACTTAATTAGATTAAAGAGCTTCCTTCCTTCCACTACAAAAATTTACTGGAAAAAAAAGGGTGGGTGCAGCACTCGAATTTCATGGCCGGAAATTATTTGCAGTCTGCAATTTCAATTATAAAAAAAAAGAAAAACAAGAAGGGAAATTAACTTCGGAAAGCAGAAGTATTTATACTCTTGGAATTGAATTATAGGATTTAACCGGTGATAAGTAAGCTTAAAAAATTTGCATTCTTTGAATCGATATTTAAGATATTTTTAAGATACTTTTTTCGACAAATCAAAATTTTCAAAACCTCATAACTTAGCCAAAAAAGTAATAATTTTAATTCGGAAAGTTTTCCTATGTTAATTTTTTAAAAGTTAATACATCTGCTTACTTGGAATACAACTTTTTAATAATCACAATTTTTGGTCGATTTTTGCAAATTTTAACCCCTTATCTTTTTTTTAATGGCAAAATTTTAGTTTTCTTCCCAACATGGCTAGAAAGATTCGCCTGTTAATGCTGATCAAGAATATATATGATTTATAGGGTCGGAAATGACTCCTTCACATGATTAATACCCTGGAAGGGTATACATAATGCACTCAAAATATGGACAAGTACAGTAGAGTACATAACATTACAAGAGTACAGTCACGGCCACAGTCACTCTCCCTTTTTGGAAAATGCATTTCTTCATTTCCGCTGAGGAATATCTATATATACATATTTGTTTTTTGTGTGTTTTTGGCTGTACAGTTGGCCGATGAAATTGAAATTCCTATGACGGCAAGTGACTGACGGTGCGTAACTACCGAGAGATAGAGGGTACAGGGGCTTGGGCCCCTAGACGAAGAAGGGTTTGGCCCCAGCGTCATCACGGTTGACAGAGTCTCAGTCACGTGTCTGTCTTGACAAAAAACAAAACAAAAAACACGCTTGAACAAAATTACATTTCATATTTGGCGAAGAGAAAAAAAATAAGTACTTTGGAGTCGAGGTTTACTGCCTGCAATTTCCGCCCTCACAGAAGTCACTCTATTTTCGATACCCTGCCAATGGGAGTTGTGCCTCAAACAATTGCGAATCTACAAAGTATTTATGAGGAGAAAGCAAGCTTAAATAAATTCTTTTTTTAATAAAAACTATACATAATAAATATACAGTATTAAATCTCTTTAGATATTAAATATAACCTTCTCTTAGTGTGTCATTTAAGTGGGGCGTAGACAAATTGCTAGCAAAGTCAGGCAAAGGGCTGAGCCCACACATGGAAAAAGGCTAAGAGCCAGCCGTTTCCTGTGGCTCACTTTATGCGTGGGGACATGGACTGAGATTGGCCTAAGGCTACAAGTCCACACAAAAAATAAGTAACAAAAAAACTACATAGAAATATAAATTAACAAAGAAATTGAGAGGTATAAAATATTCACTGGTATAGCTAGAAATAACACTGTTTAATAATAAACTTATACTGATTCCTATTACTTAAGATAAGGTAGGACACTAAGTAATTTTCTCAATTGTGTATAGTATTTAGCATATTTTACACCCTAAAAAGGTCATAGTAAACTAATTAATATGTTGTGCAGTATGTCACCAAGTAAATTGAGTAAGATAGCTCAACAAGGTCATATTAAACAAATTTACTCAATATATGTTGCATGTTATATGCTATACCAAGATCACACTTAATTTATAAAATATAAAAAATTATTCCTCAATTGTACAATTATATAATTATATCCTGTAAGGTGTCACACTAAGATACTGAAGCAAGTATGACCAAGTATACATGGAAACTTATTATAATTAATATTAAATAATATATGTATGTAATATTATAAATAAATATGTTTAAGCAGAACTCAGTAAATTGTAATTAAATAAACATGCTACACCAAACTTTTCCACTCAATTCAAGGTATGACCCTAATGAAACGTTTAACTTTGACTTATTTTAAATAACATAAACATTGCATATTCAGATAGTGTATAATCAATTGGTTTATCTACCCACAAAGTAATGACGACAGCTAATTACCACATCATTTCACGTATATGTACGTATTTTTAGCATTGCCTTAATTAGACAAAGGGGCGAACGTGACTCAAAGTCATAGTTGCTGAACCGATTTACCCCGACAGTCAGTCAGTCAGTCCGCCCTTATAATAAGAGCTTATTGTACTTATTTAGTGAGTCAGACGGAGAGGAAACGTGATTCGATCGAACTTTGTTGATATTTTTGTTTTATAGTTAATTGACAATCAACTGCGTTTGTTTCAGCCCGGGTCCCGGTTCTCGGTCCCGGGCAATTAGCTGGATAAAACGATATATAAAGTTCACTTTTTACACAGGGCTCCCTCCCTCTCCTTAGGGCTCTCGGTTCTGCCCGATTAAGCAACTCAATGGGCGATGTTCTGGCATTGCTATATGACTCTTGCCCCATCAACATACATAAGATTATAAATAAAACCGAATGGTTCAACGTATACGTTTCTGGACATTTTCATAATTTCGTAGTTTTGTGTCAAGGTTACTCTCGCCTCTGTGGGGATAGATACAAATGTATATAATGCCTTTCTCAATTGATTTGTTTACAAAACAATTTCGGGAATTTTTGGCTGCTTATAATTATATAGTTTATCGAGCAATATATTAAAGCAAAAATCAACAAACAGCAATTGTGCTAGATTCCTAATCTCTTCTGGCAACTAAATATATAGAATATAACTTCCCTGACTTTATATATATTGCATTACATTGAAATCAAATTAAATAACTGACTGAATATACCTCTATTCTTGCCATGAACTTTAACTGCCAATCGAATTTGAATACTCAATCAGAATTAGCATATTTGAATAACATTCCGAGTTGTTCTGAATTAATTTGTTGTTTTTTTTCATTTTGGCTAATTGAGTTCGTTTTGCTTTTTTTTTTTGCGGTTTTGGTTGGTATCTCTATAGGATTTTAACGCCTCCATGACGTCATTGCGGTATAGCACACAGTACATAATATATAGTATATAGCGCATTTCATTATGATGAGTTTTTATCGTTTCAACCTCTGACGCCATGCCTGTGCCATTGGTGATTATTTAAATCGCCAAACAAGTTGGGAATTTGTCAACGCCACTAGGCCTGACCTTCATCACAAACAATCAGAGCTTAAAACTGAGAATTCTGTGACATAATCACAACTAATTAAGGGATTATTTACAACAATTTGATTTTCAAAAGTAACCCTAACTCTGCCTTGCTACAAAGAGATTCTAGAACATATGTATGAAATTATTCAGCTTGGTTTCGGTATAGTTTTATTGTCTTCTCAATAAATGTTATTGAAAATCAAGAACAATAAAATCTATAAAATTCGTAGGTGCAAATCAGTCAGTGTTTGAGCCCCAGAGTGGATATTTCTCCTTGAATTCAACAACGCGATCGAAAAAACGACGCATCTGTTCCTGAGTGCGACTGTTTTCCTCGAAACCACCGACATCCAGACAGTTTAGGAACATCTCATCCGCGTTTAGCTGATGGGCAATGCCAGAGCGACGACGCACTGGTGGGCTGGGCATCTTGTCCAGCCTGGTGCCCACCACCAGAATGGGCACATGGTGGGTCTTCAAGATCGGACGATGACGTCCATGGCGCTGCTTGCAAATCTGACGCAGTGGCTCGTACAGCCAATCGTGGAGATTGTCCTGCGAACGCATGTTCTCCAGATTGTGGACGAGCACAATGCCATCGATATCCTTGGTTAAATCCTTATACTGAGCACGTTGCAGACGACACTCGGTGATTATATCGATGAATTCCACGAAATAGAGGATTTCGGTTTTGGTGGGTTTGCGCTGTGGGGGAAACAGGGACTTATCCTCCGACGAGGAATGCGATGTCCAATCGGGCGTAGGCGGCATCACCTCAGTCTTGATATACTCGTGCAATCGCACCTGAATGTCCCAGTAGCGATGTTTCACCGATCGGGAGGCCAGGGTGGGCGTATCAATGCTGCAGGCCATCAAATTGGTAACGCTTGTCTTACCCACACCTGGCAATAGGAATAATGGGAAATGCAATTGTTAATTCAATACACAATTACCAATGGCTGGTGTGGACCATTGCGCACCTTTATCGCCCAACATGAGGATGCGGACGGTGGGCACATCGTTGACCTGGAGCTGTTTCTCTGCCATTTTTTTTGGAGATTCCTTGTTCAATGTTAAGTGCACTAGTAGCGTCTCACGATTTATGACGGGAAAGCGAAAATCTGAACACTAATTGTTAACTCGATGGCAACTTGGTTTAAATCGACTAACTTACAGGGTAGTCGCTCTAGATCCTTTTGTAGTGCCATAACTATTGTTGTATCTTGCCGGCAGTACGATAGGTAACTATATCCTAATACCTTAAATCCTCTTATTGACTTCAATTCTTACAAAAACTACCAACACGTTTTGTAAAGTTAAAACAAAACAAATCACAACTTTATCCTATCGATAACTCGATCTTACGATAGACCTCACTCCAGGAACGTATCGGTTTCCTAATCTTCTTCTTCAAAACATATGTTTGCAACTGAAAGACTGTACTGATATTTTATTTTACCAATAGGAAAATGTACATAACTATCAATCATTTTATTTTTAACATTTGTCCTGCAACTTAATGGATGTTCTTCAAATACATAAATATGTATATATACATATGTATGTCAAATAGAATGTCGAAATTATAGAGTTGCTTCCTGCAACATGCATTTCGTTCTCCAACCCTGGTATTTGATGATTTTCATCAAAAAACCATATGTGCATACATTTTCGACTTTCTGCTTTGCATAAGACATCATTAAAGTATTTCCCCCGTCAGAATGTCTGGCTTTTCTTGCGCAAATATTTATACTCTCTGTTGATATTTCAGATAACAAGATTTATCTCTCTCGGCCACAATCTTTCGTCAGATGCCACGCGTGGGCGACAAACAAAACGATAAAAAAAAGAGCAAGATTTCATCATAGGTAAGGCATGCGTCATGCTTCTCCGCCTATTCAGAATTCCACGATTGGATCATTTGATCAATTAGCCACAGATCAATACTTATTGAAGTGCGTGGGGTTACATTCTCCACTCTCCTCTCTCTGTTTTTAAAAATGACCAATTATAAGATGGTTCTTCCAATTTTCCCCCATTTATTTGTCGCTTTTTTTGTTGTATCTACTGTGTGCATGTAATGGAAAATCGCTTGTGTTTTCTTTAAAGAATATAAGACTTTTTGGTACCCTTTGAAAAGTACATTCAAGCAGACTTATTGTTCCACAAGTAAGTTAAGTACCTTACAAATTATAAACACAAACTTGATACAAGAACTTGGCGTTTCAATTAGCAAGAATAAATGGTTCCCAGTTTAATTTGTACCTTTAAACTTATAAATTTGTAATGCCAATTACCTATTTAATCAATTACCAAAGTGTTCATGGAAAAGTTAATCAATTTCCAAGTAAATTGAGTGAATTTAATTAACTTAAAAATAACCGAGACAAGAAAACCTAAATTAAAATTGAACTCTGCAATCAATATACTCGAAATGCAACCCATTAAAAAGTAAGGGGGCCATCAACTCAAATATGAAAACACGCAACAGAAGAAAAGTCGGCGGCGTTCTTTGGCTAAGACATTTTCCCCGCCTTTCAGTGGGAATTAGCGAGGCAAAGTTCAGCAGCCCAGAAAAAAAAGAAAACAATAGGAAAGCAGACCATGAGGGTTGCCCTGCCTTGCATTGGGTGGGGGTGGTGGTGGTGGTGATGGTGTTATGGTGGCTATGTGGCGGTGCTCCATAAATTAGAGCGACTTGGCAATATGGGCAGTCGGGACAGTTTTATGGCCACGAATCACACACACACGGACACATCGAAAAATGCAGTTTACAAAATGCCCACCAATGCACGCTTTTCTCCCCTTCAACCCCCAACATGCCAAAGGGGTTTTCCTTTCACCAAAAAAGGGGGGAAAATTCTGCAGTGTGTCAGTTTGGTGGGTGGTTTTTCTGGCGCAAGAAGGAGTGCCGATTATAGGCTGATTAGGGGGTTATTTGGTGACCTACATAGCGGTTAATGTGTGGTAGAATGGGGATGCACATTAGCGGGTTAATAAAGTCAAGTTTTCGAATGAAGAAAATCTTTGAATAAAAGACATTAAAGTTCTTAACTCTGGTGAAGATCTCAAGTCTTTCGGGGGGGTTTTCTATGCAATTGTACAAATTGTTACAAATATATTATAATAATATTTTAACTATATGTATGCAAGAGGGAGACCCAGTTTACATCAATCAGTTTACAATCAATCTAATATTACAAAACAACTTTCAAGTAGGCCGATTCAATGCATAGAAAGGGGTCTCTCCCACGAGAGAGAAAATCGCAGCTCATCTCGAATTGCATTTGTTTATTGGCAAACACACAAACAAAGTAGGTTAGCAACTTTTCATATCAATTTTCAGCCCACATGACGACCATTGACACCACACTCCAAAGACATGCCTCAAATCCATAGCAATCATAGAAGAAAAATCTGTGAAAGAACTTAAATCAAAACACGAAATAGTGGAAATTATTTTTAACTGAAAAGCCGGACGACTGACCGGACCAGGGGGGCAGGGCAGGGCAGCAGCTGGGAAATTGAAATCCGGGAAAGGAGACGTTGCTCCAAGTTGAATGAACCATACACACACCGGCAACAGCGACGAGTATCGAACAGATAATTATAATGAGAGCAGATGGTCTCCGGTCTCGGGTCTTGACTATATATTTTACTTGCAAAACAAAGGTGTCTGTCTGGCCAGCAATACTCAAGAAATATTAATAATTCTCGAGCAAAATTAATAAAATTAAGTAAACAACTTGAGCCACTTATTGTTTTGAAGTATTTAAAGCTGTCTTGGTCTATGAATTCTATTATTATTATACAGGAATTCATTTATTTCATAGTTATAGTTATACTTTAATACTCTTAATAACCTCAAGAGTGTTCATAAATTTTAAAAATTTTAAATCGTGCCAAGAAATGTAATATTCGGAGTCTTTAAAGTATGCCAACTGTCAAAACAACTGTTTTGTATGCTTGGCAAATATGTTCGAAATGCATTATTAAAGAGGATCTTAAATTTCCAAAAATTATACATTTTATTTACATTTTTCAAGAATTTTCCAAAAAGTGTGCAAAATAAATTGCGTTTGCATAAAACTGGACCGAAAAAACAAAAACAGGAAAGGATTCCAACTTTGGCAAGTCGAAATTCGAATACTCTTAAAATTAGAAAATTTTAAAAATATGTTTTTAATATATATAAGTTTTAAATAAATCATATTTAAATCCAACCTATTATATGGTAAATATATTCATAGTTTGTTGATTATTATTAAACTTCTACAATCTTTCAAATACAAATTACTTTCATATAGCTTAAAAAACTAAGATACTAGCCCATATAAATAACCCTAGATCGACTTGCCTGGTGATGATTAATAAGAAAAACCTGATTAAAATTATAATACCCCTTAAAGGGTATTTAAAAAACAATGCTTAGTTAGCAACAACAAATTTTGCTGCGATGGCCAACGAGAATGAGATCATTTTTAGACTTCTCTCACGTTTTTTTTTCGGTATCTTTACTGTGTGTTCGTGTGTGTGTGTGCGTCTCTCCCCTTTTGTATACATTTTGTTAACCGTAAAAATTGTTGAAATTTCCACCGACTGGAACACCAGCGGACATGATACAAACAAAATAAATAAATATAAAAAAATAGGCACAACATATGCAGGTCAGACAAATGAAATAGAGACGCTGGGAATATAAACGGCGACATTGCAAAGTGGAAGCGGAAATGGATTTAGATAAAACCCAGTAAACATATAAAAATATACAAAAAGAGTTTATCAAAAGAGTGGAATATATATGTATATATATTGCAAATTTCAAGACTCACTTATAAGGGGTAATCGGTCCGGTTAGTTCTATGGAGGTCCGTATCGTTAAATTCACTTAGCCTTGCCGCCGCCGCCTCAAATTGCTCAAATTTAAATTCAAATGCAGGCAACACAAAAATAAATAACACAAGTTTATTTAGCATACCCTCGGAAATGGGATATGCACGAACTGTGGACAGCTTAAACTGTGTTAAGGAATTTCGCCACCTTTGGGGTTTAATTAGCTTATATTTATATTTTTGTTCTGGTTATTATCTAGTTTTTGTTTCATTTTAAAGCTGAGCTTAAAGGAAATTGATTAATTAATTATCTAATATATTTCATCAATTAATAAATGAGTGAATAAGCTGAATTAATAAAAAATTCATATGTTTTTAAAAGACGTATACTTATTTTTTATATAGGAAAAGTTTTTTAATAAAAATTTCATTGATTCATCGAGTTTACATTTAGGTTTATTTTAATTTTTATCTTAATAAATGACCAATAAAACTTTTTCTTTTGAAATGATAAATAATTCAATAAAATTAAGTCGAAGACGACTTAATAAAGGGTGTAGTTTATCAGATATATATATTTAAATATATATTTATTATATTTATATTTTATTATATTTATAAAAGCGAAAATTCACTTTTTTTTATTAGAAAAGTTAAAAATACGCTTTTATAAAATAACAAAAGACTTGTTTGGTATTGGTAATTGGGAAAGGTGAAAGTACATCATATAAGAAACATATTCACCCACTCCACTATATACACACAATATATATATTCACACTACACTCTATTCACTACTTACTATTCACTCACCTGTTGCTGGATCGGCAATAGACAAAACGGCGAAAATAAAATTACGTGTTTTGCAACCGGTTTTTACTTTTTGATCACTTCTATTTGGTTAAAATGTTGTTGTTTCTGTTTCTTTGGTCACTGCTCTAAAAAAAAATCATTGATGTTAACAACTTTTTCACAGAACTCTGATTGGATGCACAGCGCAAAAAAAAATGTGGAAAAAAAGGGAATGCGAAACACGCGGCGATATAAAAAAAACCGTGTGTAGTTTATCTTATCAGCAGGGAGCGCGGCGGAAGAGGAGGGAGAGAGTTGAGCAATAATATTCCATTATCAAACTGATAACACTCGCGGAGTCGTCGATACACACTCTGGCCCTGTTTGTTGTTTGCCCTTCTTGCTGTTCTTCTGCTGTTGCTGTTGTTGTTATTTCTTTATTTGCAGTAAGTTTTAGTCACCTCCATTCTATCTCTCAAAAGCGTTTGCGCTACAGCTTTTCTCCGGTGTACTTGAGTCATCTGATCGCTAAACACGCTCAGTGACGTCATAGCGCCAAAGAACAATAGAAGTGGTGGGAGAGTAAGAGCACAGGGGGTTGCGTGCACTTGAAATAAAACGGTAGAAAAGGCCAAGCAAAAACAACAAAAGCAACGGCACCAGCAACTGGTTCACCTTCAGCTGATCAGCGAGATGATGCCATCTCCCTTGCGCACTCCATTCAAATTACAAACAATTGCTTTTTGTTCTACACTTGTTAGAACCACAACAACAACAGCAACAGGATAACAACAAGAACAACCGAGCGCGGAAACAATATATTAAATATAAAAAAAAAACACAACGTTCACTGAATATTGTCTCTATAAGAGTGCGTATTAAATTAGACTCCTCTATTTATATTAATAAATTGCACACGCTGCGTATATTTTCACCGTAAGTGCGCGCGCCGCTAATGAACACGAAGGAAAAGGGCAAAAGAAAGGAGAAAGAGCGCGAGCGAGAGCAGAAGGAGTAAAAGGAGCGCGTACACTTACGCCAAAATGCCGGCAAAACAAAACAGGGGATAGTTAGAACTTTTTACAGATGCGTCAGCTGCGTTCCGTCCGATTCGCTCAAAATTTGCTTTTCAACTGACTGACCAGACTTGACAGGCGGTTGCGCGGCCAAAAATACCGAAAGCTAGGCGCAGTGTGACCAGAAGCACATTGGGCTGCCAATCTCAAAAAGCTCGAGTTTCGATAACGATAAGAAACGGATTTGATATTTGAATTTTCTCTAAGAAAACTAAAGTAATTTAAACAAATCAAATTTAAATCAAATTAAGTTAAGTTTGCTGAAGTACAATGTGTTATATTTTTTAATATTGAGTCTAAATTCAACTTCCCTTGAACTAAATAACTTATTATGCTTATTAAAACTTATTTAAACACTCTACAAAATAAAAACGTTACTCAAGAAAATTAAGCAAGGAACAAAATAAATCCTTTTCGTTATATATTCTTACACTTATTGAAGACAAATTGATTTTAAAGAATATATATGAAAGATAGATATACGAATAAGAAAAATAATAATGTTTAGAATTGTTTTATGACGATGGGTGTTGGCTCAAAATGGGATAACTATTATTCTGTATATAGGTAAACCCTTTTTATAAACAAATAATAAAAATATAAATTTTAAGTGCTCTCAGTAGTGACTTTCCAACACTGCGACGACTCACATACATATCTACCTTAATTATTTCGACAAATCTTGAGCTTAAAAGGCACTTAAAAGTATTACTCAAAACCAGAAGCGGGATAACTCATATTAAAGCTGGCCACGCGCTGTCAAAATATAAATACGAAGCCATAAATATAATCGAAGATGAACACGTGAAAAATGAGCGAAGTTCAATGAGCCAAAGCCGAAGTGAACAAATATTATTAAGTGAGAGAACCGGTCGTCTCAGTTTGCTTTTATTGTTTTTACTTCATTGTTATTATTTTGATTTCTCTGACGCTTACTATCAGAAAAGCCCAAATCGTGTGTCATAGATGTCAAGACCCATCTCGGGGAGATAATACTTCAGGAGCTCGGGAATAACAAAAGCCAAAGTTTGCTTTCATTATAAATAATTTTTTTCGAGAGACCAGTTTTTGAAAGCAGTCAAAAATGTTTTAAGGAAAAATATTATTATATCAAATATATTTAAAATATCAAAACCAAAAACTCTGTATGATAAAAGCTTGTAATTCAAAACAGTGAAGTTTTGAAATATTAAAAAGTGTTGAAAAGTCTACTAATAATATTTAAATTAAATTAATATTAGGTCTGACTCGTTTCCTAAAATCCCCCAATTATATCTCTCAGTGTAACTTGCTGGCTTTTGGTTAATTGGCACTTGGGAGGTTGGAAGTTGCCTGTCTGGTTTTCTGGCGATCTGAGCGCGCATCGCCGATTGCCGGCCGATCTCAGCGTTAACCCCACTGCATTCCGCATCTGGCAACGAGCAAGGAAGGAGATTCCCCATCCGAGTTCCAAGATGAACACTCCAGCAGCCGCCGGTACACAAGTGTATCCACTTCTACTCCTCGTGCTGCTGCCACTAATCGCAGGTAAGAGTAAAAACTACTGCTAGTGGGAGTGGTCTAGATCAGGCTAGTTTAATGGAATAATTTAATGAAAAGTATAAGAAAAAGTCTTGGTAAACATAGAGTATGTAAAATAAAGACTGCAAGTGTTTTGGAATTGTTTAAAACCCCTAAACAAAACTGAATACTTGTAGTTCCTGTCCTTTTTATTATTATTCTATTAAATTCCTTAATTAAATTTGTATCAAATAACATACTTTCTAAGTTATATTTTATATTTCCTACCGCAAAACGAACGTTCTTCCCAAAAATTCTATAGAAATTCTTCAGGGGGAATTTTCTCTAACATTTCTCACCTCTTTTTGCTCCTGTGACTCATAATTGGGTTTTATTTTATTTTATTTTTTTTGTACCTTTCAGTTTGGGCCACGCCCGCCATTAGTCCGCAGTCGCAGCGTGGCATTATCTTTCCCAAGGAATCCTTTGATGAATGCTACCTGGATGATCCCCAACGGACGAAGGGCACCTGCCGTCGCATGGAGGACTGTCCCTCCGCTGTGAAAAGCTGGCTGGAGAGACGGGAATCCCCCAAGACCTGCTACTTTGTGAAATTCGATCATTTTGTATGCTGCAATCCGGAGACTGAAGTGCCAGAGATAACCACCAGTGTACCGCCCACGCTGCCACCCACTCGTAATCCATATACAGCACCACTGGTCCAACGACCAAGTCTTGAAGGTGAGAGTTATCCTAATCCTTAACTAAACTAGATTCTATTAGTAAGATCTCATTCCAATTTAAGGTGATCTAATTCCATGACTAACTAGGGATTTCCCCTTTCTTTCTCGCATATATTTTGTAGCATGTTACGATTACAACAACGTCAAGTTGACTAACGAGAATGACCTGACCTTCGTGGTCTCAGTGGTGGGCGGGAAGCCAACACGTTACCGGGAATACCCCTTCATGGCAGCCCTGGGCTGGCGTTCCAGCTTCGATCAACAGATATATTATCGCTGCGGCGGTGCCTTGATCTCAAATACCTTTATCTTGACGGCTGCGCACTGCACCGACTTGGGCGGGTAAGAATGGATCGATTAGTTATCAGCATAATCTAATGAATATATATATATATATATATTCCCCTCAGAGAGCCACCCAGTCAGGTTCGACTTGGTGGCGATAACCTGACCCTAACCGAGGGCGAGGACCTGCTCATCCGACGCGTGCTGGTGCATCCGGATTACAATGCCACCACAGCCTACAATGACATTGCCCTGCTGGAGCTGGAGACACCGGCCAAGCCGGAACTCCGTCCAACATGCATTTGGTCGGAGAAGGAGCTAATTAACTCACTGGTCACGGCCATTGGCTATGGACAGACCAGCTTTGCCGGCCTCTCCTCCGCCCAGTTGCTAAAGGTGCCGCTCAGGAGGGTGACCAACGAGGATTGCCAGGTTCACTATCAGACGGATCAGCTAGTCGAGGGACTCCAAGGTAGCCAATTGTGTGCAGGGGATTTGGCCGGGGAAAAGGACACCTGCCAGGGCGACTCTGGTGGTCCGCTCCTCATGCAAGATGCCCATTTGCTCTACATCGTGGGCATTACGTCTCTGGGACAGGGTTGCGCCAGTGGACCGCCATCGGTGTACACCAGAGTGTCCAGCTACGTTGACTGGATTGAGAGTGTCGTGTGGCCCACAGGATATACTTCGCAACCGCTACCACTACAGGACCAGATGTCCTCGAAACCTAAGGAAATGACAGATCCCAATTTCGATCTGAGGGCAATGATTTAATCTAATTTATTTTAAGGTTCTATTGAACAAAAAAGAATCTACAGGAAAACATAAATTAAATAACGAATTTGATTTGGTTTTTTGTAAGAATATTTTAAGTTCATTTTTATACAATAAATAATAATAAAAAACCACTGAGAGAAACAATAATTATTTGATTTTGAATGTGAAATCGATCATAAGTAAGCCTATCTGTGTTGGCTTTTATAAGCATACTAGCATATTGGACTTTAACATTTACATAATTAAATATGATAATGACTGAAATACATAGCTAGTACAGCTAAAAGACCTATCTATATATATACATATATATATGATATAATTGTCATGGATAGGACTTACCGCATTAATCCTCAATTTCTTCCAGTGTAGAGTATTATTCCTGGTGTCTTCAAGTAGGCTTCCCATGGTATCATCAAAGTGGACGTCTTCCTGTTTATAAAAATGTAAAGCATTGGTCAGGTGATGTTTTCGAAGTCGGAGGTCACTATCACTAATGATGTAAACAGGAGAAAGGACGCGGACAGAATGAGGTCAGCGCAATATAGGTGCCTGTATTTATAGTGCCCGAGTAAAGAGAATAGAGAAAGTGAGAGGGACAGAGAAAGAGCCACCTCTCGAGAGACAGGCAGAAAGGGATAGAGAGAAAGTGATATCTCTAGAGCAACCCAGAGAGATAGAGAGATAGGCATACCAAATAATATAGAGGAAAAATGAGAGACAGACAGAGAGTTACATATAGAGAGATAGTCAGAGAAAGGGAGAGAGAAATAAATAAAAAATGTAGCATTTTCCTCTGGATTTACATGATATATTCTTCTGATTTTAATAAAATTAAGACCGAAAATATAAAATAATTCACCTATATATCACAATTTAGATGAAAATATGTTAAATTGATTTCTTAAAATCTTTCCATCCGAAATTTGTCCTATTCTACGGGAATAAATATGAATATAAATTGCCAATAAGTAAATATAATCAATATATTGACTTGGAAACTTTCACTTTTATACTCATAATGTATGTATATTATATACACAAGTATATCCATTTCCAATCTGTCTGTGCCTTTTTAACTTATGAATATCACCTGGGTGTTATATTCTCTGCCACCTCAGATTGGGCTAGATGACATTCTATGGAAATCTGTGGCTGATTCAGGTGTTCATACCATCCGAGAAATAGCTAACTGGGGGCCATAAAAGCGTCCAGAATTCTGGACATCGGCTAGTTGAGCTCTGAATGTTGAACAATGATGACGATAATATCGCAAGCCATGTTCCTGCTGATCCTAGCCAGCGCCTGGACTCTGTCAGAGGCCTATCTGCCCGATGTCAATATCTTTACCAATTACCGAACCGAAGTCTATAATGGTAAGTTAAATTTATATTTGGTTAAGTGATCATCCTACGTATTTGTTGCAGGTATACCCTCGGAGATTGACACCACACCCTTTGTTAGGATCGGGGACAATTACTACTATATCGAACCGATGAACAAAGTGAATTGGTTCCAGGCGGCAGGAGCATGTCGCATGATGAACGCCCACCTGGCCTCCATCGAGGACAAACCGGAAATGGAGGCCCTGATCAAATATATGAACGCAAAGGGATTTAAGAATAACGATTACTTCTGGATATCGGGCAACGATCTGGGCACTGAGGGTGCCTTCTACTGGCTCTCCAACGGAAGGCCCATGACCTATGCCCCCTGGAATGGGCCAAAACAAATGCCGGACAACTATGGGGGCAACGAGAATTGTGTCCACATGTTTGCCACCCGGGAAATGATCAACGACGCCAACTGTAAGATCCAAATGTTGTATGTGTGTGAGGCCACGGAACCCAAGACATTCAAATTCACCTACATCAAGTGGTGAGCCCAAGGGGGAAAAAATTAAATAAAATAAATTAAATTTACATTCTCAGACCTAAATGGATATGTATGTACATATGGAAAATTTAATAATATAACAGAAAGAAAGTTAGGAAAGATATTTAATTAATTAGATCATTTTTGTTGTAGTTTTTGCCGGCTTTTATTTGTCGCATCTTTTTGCTTATCGCTTTCGTTTCATCTTTTCGCTAATTATACAATTAGTTCGATTTTAGCATTGTTTCTCATTTGGTTTACACTAAATTGTTACGATTCCGATTCCTTATGTTCCTTACACAGCTATTAAACTCTATCATATACACGTTATTCATCGATCGATTCACTTGAATTGAATTTAGTTGCGTTAAATGTAATTAAATTAAATTTCATTTAATTTATTAATACCCACTAATATCGCGACGACAACAAAAAAGTGTGTATTTCGAGTATATGATGTATACGTATGTATGTTACATATAGCAACAACAGCACACAAGTCATATGAATACATACTATACATATTATGTATATGGAAGGAGAGTAAACTAGAAAGGAAGCGTTCTTCAGCAAGCCGAAGAGATTGATACCAAAGGCCTTATAATAACAAGAGGAGTAACATCACACCATCTCTTCAAAGCCGGAGAGATCTTGTTATTATAGGGTATTTGTTAATACCCTTGCTGTTAAAGGCAAATTTCATTGTTTAAAATTAAATGGGAGGTGTTAAAAACGATCGCTTCTATATGGCAGCTATAAGATTGAGATGACCGATCCAACAGATTTTTAAGCCTACATCTATTTAAAGACAATTGCAAATTGTTTGAAATAAATATATCTTTTCAAGTGAGCGAGTAAATCGCATAGGAACAGACAGACGGACTTGGCTAAATCGATACGCCTGGTGATGTACATGGGTATAAAATAGAATCAAAGCAATAACGGAAAAACAAGATAATATAAGATAAGGACAAGACTTATGGAATCCAGTATAGAGATGACGTTACGTTTTACAGTTAGTTTTTAGTTTCTTGTTTTTTTTTTCTCAGCTTACTTTGCTAGGCTAGAGGTGAACAGTGATCGGATATTGAAAAATCTACGACATAACCTCAACAATTATAGCGATTATGCGTGGTGTGTGTGTGTGAGTGCTTACATATGTATGTATGTAGGTATATGTATGCTCTGGTAGTCTAAATAGTTGTCGATTTACGATGTACGGAGTCTTACGTGGCTAAATCGCTAATTCTAAACATTTGTTTGTCCACAATTATGCATATAAATATTGTATATTTATCAATTAGTTAATATTAGTAACTACATACATATAATTTATATAAATATTCAACAGACGAGTGCATAAATTTAATAATTCTTACATGCTACTCTCTCTCGCTCTCTTTCACTTTCTGCTCTCTCTTTACCGTTCTACGCTAAATCTACCGTCTCTCTCTCTCTCTCTGTTATCCTGTGCTATGTCTGTGTGTGTTGAAGTGCTACTGATGCGCCAGTGTGAGTGAGAGAGTGCGCGTGTGTGTGTGTGTAAGGTGGGCTTCAAAGCTCTCAGCTGCAAGCTTGTAGGAGTCTTGTCGTGCGAAAGGGAGAGAGCACTTTCGGTCATTTGCCAACACTGGGCCTCGGGATATGGACTTAACACTAGACAAATTTTTGAAAATATTTTGATTCAATTTCGAGGCAAACAACTTGATATTAATAAATTATAAACTCTCTGCTTTTGACCTTAATATAACAAATTCAATGACCAAAACATCCTTAAACAATAGATTTCTTGACAAAAAAAAAGTATTAACAAATGTCTGGCAGATAATATTGTGTTTCAAAAACTTAATTAAACAATGTTGTTGCCTAGTGCCGCCACAGATCCCGATCAAGTTGCTAGACTCGCTTATTTGTTTATAGACAACACACACAAATCGATAAGCTATTTTCTGGCGTCACTTTACAATTAGTTCAATTTCTTTTTGCTTGGTTTTTCTCTTACAAAATGGAAAGAAGAACAGCCTAAAAAATGTTATACATGTACAAAGTCTAAATGTTATTTTTGTCCTCCACATCTCTGCTAGCTCTCGTTTTTTTTCGACGTTTTTCTTTTAGAAAAAAACCTTTTTTCGAAATGGCAGTGCGTTTAGAAAGGGGGTGGCGAGGGTGTGAGGTGATGTTAACTTAGTATTTACAGAGCAAGATCTTGATATAAAAAAAAAGAATTAATGGCAGGAATCGATGTAATCGCCTTGGCATGCACATAATCATAATCAACATAATTATCGTAAATAATATTAAACAAAAGTGTTTTTTTTTTTTTGTAGGTTTCTTTTTTTAGCTTTTTGTGTGGTTTTTGTTTTTTGTTGTTTTTTTTTTGTTTCCTTTTTTTTTGGTTTTAAAACACAATTGCTTATTAGACTTGGGCGTTTTTTGAATGCAATGTGTGTTCGTACAACGTTTTTAGTTTTGCAGATATTTGCTTAAAATTATGATTTAAAAGCTACTAATAAAAATATTAAGCATCATAATAAGTAATAGTAAGTAAAGAAATCATACAAAAATTTACATTTCAGGCATAAAATTACAGTTAGAAATCATCTTATTAAATGTTTAACAATGCACGGGCGGGATAAAGGATACAGAGTTGGGGTATCTGAAGGGATGTGGCTTCTTTTCATTTACAAAATACACTTATTTATTTTAAATAAATTATATTTTAAAATGTGAAGCACCTTTGTATTTGTTTTTTTTATATATATAGAAATCACCCTTTACAAGATCAGGGGAGGGGGATTGGGATGATAGGTTTGGTTGTGTTTATGTATGTGTGTGTGTGTTGAGCTCTAGAGAGATTTTAGAAACATATGAATGCGCTTTGTTCTTACATTATTTAATATTTACCAGCTAATTTCACACTTCAGTTTATCGCTCTTTAAACCATTATTACAAACTAATTATGAGTTTACTTTCATATATATATATATAAATATACATATATATATATATATTTGTATATATATATATATATATATATATATTATTTATATTATCTTCTATAATATATTTTTAATAATTATAATTTTTTTTTGCTTTCATGTTTATTTTAGAAACAAAATGAAATATATTGAACGCAATCAGAGGCAAAGTGTTCCTTATTATTTAGTTTTAGTAGGTTCTTTTTTGTTGTTTGCTCTTCTAGTTCCAAAATCTAGGCTCAAGCGAGACAGCGCAATGTTAAAAATAAGTCTAAGTATTACGTTTTAGGGGGATTCAGTGTATCATAATCAAGATTAGGATAAGGTTAAAGGGGTAAAATAGAAAAATGCAGCATACATATTTGCAGTTTTTAACCAGAGAATTCTCTTTCTCTTTCTCATTTGCTTATCCCATCTATCGCTCGTCCCGCTCGTTTTGGTGATGTTGCCCATCCTGGCCAGATCCAGACGAACTGGAACTGCTGCTGCCTATCGATGATTCCGACGATATGGAAATGATTGATATAGCCGATGAAGAGTTCACCAGCGTGCCCCTCAGCGGCGGCAGTCGATGGTTGTTGTTGTTGCTACTGCTGCTGCTGCTACTATTGCTGCTACTGGTGCTGCTGGTCGACGACGTATTGCCGATGGTTGGGGATCCAACAGATTTTTGGTAGCGACTGCCACCGCCGCCGCCCAGACGTAAATGCTGTGGGCGTTGCTGCTGCTGCTGCTGTTGCTGGTGGTGGTGATGATGTTGCTGGTGGTGCTGTTGTTGCTGCTGCTGGTGGTGATGGTGATGATGATGCTGCTGTTGCCGGTGACTGTGACTATGGTGCTGCTGCTGCTGGTGATAATTCGAGGAGGAAGAGGAGGAGTTGGACTTGCTCAGCTGCTGCTGCTGCTGCTGCTGTTGTTGCATCGGCGGTGGCACATAGTACTGCTGGTGGTAGTAACCGCTGGAATTGTGACCGCCGCCGCTGCCGCGCTGGTTGTAGTTGCGTCCACCACTGCCGCCAGATCCTGAACCGAAGCCAGCGCCTCCTCCTGAGCTGCCGCCGGCCGAGGTCTCCGCTTGCGGCGCCTGAAGCTCCAGCTCTGAGTCCATCTCCTGGGCAACGACGATGTGGGCAGTTTCCGGCTGTTTTGGTGGTGAAGAGGTTATACATGGGTGCTTGCTGCTGCTGTTGCATCTAGCACGCATGCTGGCTGCAGTTGCTCCCAAGGTTTTCGCATGGAATTTCGTTTGGAGCTTCGGTTTCGGATATAACCGGGCAGCAACTGCGGCCAGCATGGGAGCATAGCCGCCGGCCACCTGATGCCGCATGGGCATTAGGCAGCCGGCCACCACCAATCATCGTGTGTCTAGGCGAGGGATTGTGTGCATTACCGACGAGCCCGTGGATGAGCTGCTGTTTCCATTTCCGCGTCCGCTTCCGGTTCCGTTCCAACTGCTGCTGGTAGTGGGCATACCAACAGCGATCACAGGCAGCGGCATGGCGGGCATGGCGCCAACCATTCCATTCGGTGGCGACAGTGTGATGTCAATGACCTCCGGCGACGGTTCCACAATCTCGCAGTCCTTGCTGTCCTCGGAATCATCACCGGACGAGGTGCTGCCACGTCTGTGACGCGACTGCGATTGGTTCTGCGACTGCTGCTGCTGCTGTTGCTTCTGCTGCTGGACCTTCGACGTCTGTTGCTGCTGCTGCTGCTGTTGGGCGCTGTTACCGGGCGCCGACACGCCAACCACCGCCACCGCTGTGGTGGTCGTTGTCGTGGCGGATGAACCGGTAACAAACGGCTGCCCCAGATGGCCAGGATGGCCACCAGGAGTGTGCCCGGCATGGCTGTGCGTGTGACTGCTGTGCCCGTGGGCAGTGGGCATCTGCACCGGATGATGGTACAGTTGCTGGACAACGGCGCCCGAGGGCATAATCACATATTTAGGCGCACCATTTGAGGTGGCATATGCCGCAGCGGCGGCAGCGGCAGCGGCTGCAGCGGTGACGGGCAGCGGTGAGATGCGCTCCACCACCACAAGGTGTTCGAAATTCTCTCGGATCCATTCGCGGTAATCGATGACGTCGTCGGTGATGTGAATGATTCGACCTATGGGAAAGGCAAACGGACAATAAAAAATAATTGCAGTCCTGCAGGGCTTTTAAGGTATTTCATTTATTTTTAATGCTCACCCAGTATAGAGTTGAGGCGCGGATCGATGCCTAGGAGATTGAGCGGACTAACCGCGAGAGCGAGGACACGGTAGGCGCACTTAAAGGCCTGCTGCACTTGGAAGACGCCATAACTGCTACGTCCAATGTCATTGCCCGGCGTCAGCGGATCCTCGATGCACAGAAGCGAGGGCCGATGGCCATCGACCATGTCCCGCTGCAGGTCATCCTTGGGCATATATCGGCCGCCGTTCTTAATCGAAATGCCAATCTTCATGTAGTTAAACCGACGACCGTACAATTCGAAAAACTCGAGCAACAGCACACCCAGATTGGCCGTCTCGTGGTAGATGGCGCGCGGATGCAGCTGCAGGAAGCTGATACACATGAGGATCAGCGAATAGGAGGAGATGCCGCCGGTGAACACCTCGTTGAGATCGCGGAGCAGCAGGAACTGCTTTAGGACCAGCACTAGCTTCCCCAGCACCGGATAATCACGCTTGAATTTCTTAATTAGCTCCGCCGACTGTACGCCGCTCTGCATATTGAACGATATGTCAACCTTCACCTGCGTCTCCCTGTCCGTCAACTTGATGATCGGCACGGATGCCTTGTCTAGTACACGGACCGTGCATGCCTCCGCAATACCACGACCAACCAGCTCAGATTCCAGCGTACGCAGCGGCAGCTTTTCCCATAAACCTAAAGGAATATATGTAATATGCATTAGAAGAATTTCATTGATTACGGAAAGGTAACGCCCACACTCACCTAGCACAACGAGATCAATGTCGGAGGTGGGCAGAAAGAGGCCGGTACGGAAGGAGCCAAAGATCTCAACCACCGCCTGCGGCCAAATGGAATGGACGACGGCCTCGATGCGCTTGACCACCTCGTTGCGGATGGCGTGCTCGCAGGGCGTGGGCAGGACGTACTGATAAAAGTGCTCGATCTCCTCATGCAGCCCGATGACACCTTCGCCATAGAGGAAGTCCGGCTTTCGCCAGGGTTCGCCCTTGTACTTGGCAATCATCTCCATGTGGTTGTTCATATAGTAATGAGCCCCGCCAGCCTTGTTCTCTGGACGTTTCTTTCGCGATGGATTGTAGTAGATGCTGTTCGTGCGACTGGCACCACCCGTCGTCGTCGTGGTCGTGCTCGCGGTCGTCTGTGACGAATTGTTGCTGCTGCTATCGTTCATACTGGTCGCTGGGGGTCCAGTCGCTGCAGTTGCAGCGGTATTGGTTGCCCCTGCCGTGCTTGCTGGACTGTTGGTTCCTCCTCCGTTTGTTGATGTGATGCTGCTGCTGCTACTGTTGGCGGGTGAGTTATTGTCCCGATTTGTGCCGGAATCGGTGGCCGAGCTGCTGTTTACAGTACTGTTGCTATGCCTCTGCGTGGTACCGTTGAGATGCTGCTGCTGTTGCTGCTCCTGTGAATCCGCCCGGAAGTTAAGCACACGGCTCAGTGAGCTGTTTGGCCGTGATAAGTAGGGTTTGCCCGTTGAATTGTTATTAATATTAGTGTTAGCCGCGTTACTGTTACCGTTGCCGTTACCACTGATGTTATTGCTGCTGCTGCTGGTGCTGTTACCGCTGATGTTATTGCTGCTGGTGCTACCGTTTATCGTCGCCGACGTCGTCGTTGCTTGCTGTATCTGCTGGTCAAGCAATGCGCCCATCTCCTGGGCATTCGACTCCCAAATCTTTAACCATGTGCGCAGCGATGGGCCCTCCTGTTCCTTCTGAAACCAGCCAACATATGGATCCATTCAAGACGCTTTCGCACGACTGTTGGCTGGAATGGGAAACGAGGGGGGCTAGCGTCTCTCCTTCGCTCCTTCTTCTGCCACTTCTGCCACTTGATGCTTATAGTCCTTCCAATGATATCCTTCGTTTTATAGATATGATGATTATCTAATAATTGTCTCTGGGCATATGCGATCCACGTGAATAAGCTCAGGGTACTGTTGCCCGGGAATTAGCTTCAACCACTGAGGAAGTCTCTTAGCATTCAGTAACTAAGGGAAACATACAAAGTGTGTTACGATTTAGTTGGCTTTGTTCTAGTTCTCGAAATCCCAGACAAAATAAGGTCTGTCTGATCTTCAATAGAAAAAAATCTGTAAACGATCGATACCTATTAATCACACAGTACCTCAAAATCTTAGGAACCGAACATAAATCACATAAACAAATGTATATAAAATTTAATTTATCGACACAGCTGGGTATCAACTGTCAAGCTCTCGGACAGCCAGGCCAGTTGTAACTCATAAAGCCGGGCACAGGCACAATTAGCGAGAAAAGCGAAGAAGTAGTTTCCACGAAAAACCTCCACTGGCTGTGGTTTTTGCAAGCTGAGAGGGCAAGGATTTGAGCGAGTCTAGAGACTTATAGAGAATAGACCTTGGAGTTCGATGCAAGTATTCTTCTTGTGTTACTATTAATTTTGTCCAGTGTTCTTGTTGTAGCACGTTGTTGTATCCTTTTAAATGTGATTGATCTTAAGTTCATGACTATCTTGAATTTGCATAGTTTTTAATATAAAATTATGAAATAAGACTTTTAGAGATCTTAAAATAGGTTTTTTTAAACCGAAAGCAGACATTTTCTTCAACTTCTTTATTGACAGGGCAACTTTTATTTATAGAAGATCGATAAATAAACACGATGTGGCGCAATGTGGCATGAAATAAAGCCGATATATGGGTTAAAACCAAAATACGGCAACTTGGGGGGGCCGATGGATGAATAATAAACAAAAGAGTGAAATGAAAATAATAATAAATACAAGTTCACATACAAACTGTTGTACATTTGTAAGTTGCCACTCTCCAAAAGGCGTTTGCATGCATTTTCATTTCGCTCGAATGGAAAGCGTAAATGGCAAACTATTGCAAATTATGCGCTCTTTTCTACAAATAGAAATGCCGACCTCTCTCGCTCGCACCCCCTCTATCTATGGCTCCGCTATTGCTCCCTCTTCGCCCCCTCTCTCACTCACTCTCTCTCTCCCTCACACTCATTACGAGCCAACTGCAGCTGAAGCGTTTAAAGGCGCCAGGCGAAAATTGTTTTTCAGACCGCAAAAAAATAAATAAATAAATAAACTAAATAAAAACCCAGACACACACACACACACACATACACAACATTAAAAAAAAAAAAAAACCCAAAAATGGGGCAGAAAAAAATCGACTCACGAGACTTTGCAAATAAAATGACTTCCAAAGTGATATTATATCGCTCACCAACACAATGGCAAGTACTCTAGTTTTGTGCATGTGTATATGTATATATTGCCCGTGCGTGTGCCTGTGTGCAAGGGCGTACAGGTGGCCGTAGTATGCGGGGGAGCGGGATAGCAGGCACATGCACATGTACCGAAAGGCGGCTGAGATTATGCAAAAAAACAAAATGAAATAATACCCGTACCAAGGCACCGCTATTCGAACGTCAACCGGAATGGCTTTTCGTCGACTTTTTCAAAGTTTTCATTAGCTCAACCGAGATATTCAAGCAACTGAAGATGCATTTTTCTAGAGGAAAACTTTAGTACGCACACACACACGCACCTACATACACGCACACATGAACTTGTACATTTTAGGCAAATTAACACTTTCTTAATGTTGGTCAGTGTTGGTTAACACCCAAATGAGGGAGAGGGTGAGGGCGAGAGAGGTGCCGGAGCGAAAGAGAGGTTTGAGCAATGAAAGAGAGAGAGGGAGCGCGTGCTTTTTCTTTTGTAATTGTTTTATACCGGCAAAAGTATGTTTCTTTTATTGAATTTCCTGCTGAATTGGCAGTGCCACACTTATCGATGAGCTTCGCAGGGTTGCCACCTTCTGGCAGTTGTACAAATTTTACAGCACTAGTTTACGCAAAATGTAAACATTTAATTTATGCAACAGTAATTAAACGAAAATCAATCAAGAGTTTATCTTCCGCTCTCTCTCGCTCTAACGCACTCACGTGTGCGTTCTCTTTTTAAATTTCTCGCGTAATTACGTTGGAATTTTGCACATTTTTTTTATAATTTTTTTGTTGCTATTTTACCTTGACGAGTTTTGTTCTCGCTGTATTTCAAGTTTAGCACACATACGGCTGCACGCACTTAAAAACACACAGGCAGACACACAAACGCACACACCTGGACGTGCATGAAATACATAGAAAAACATAGTTATAGTATGCAAGTTTTAGGTTTTTTTTCTGCAGCTTAAAACCCGCCCAAAAATTAATGGAAAATTACAGTTGTTGTCGGCGTCGCCCGCTCTGCTCTTTCCCTCTCGCTCTCTCCCTCGCGGCTATATCCTTATAAGCAGTAACAATTTATCGTTCTTGCTCACTTGCTCGCTCGCGCCTCTCACTCACACTCATATACTGTCACTGACACACACACACACACACGCGAGTACATTCACGAGTTCTTTCGAGTGTCGAATCCAATCGAGAATTACCGAAAGTAGCAGTCTGCTCTTTGTTGCAATTGGCATTTGCAAGCGCCGATTCGCATGTCCTCTGTAGATCGCAGGCTTTTAGCCGCCGTGCGAATATGATTATTTGCTCTTTTTCAGCGCCTCCTGTCCGTTTTTGGCTCGATTTTAACGACGAAAATTGCAATAATTTCTGTGCGAACACGCGACTGGTAGAGACGTCACAATGGCGATAACAGTGTAACAGCAAATCGATGGCCGGTATCGATAGCGTGCGAATATTCCGTTGCGATACTTAAGAGACTATCCCATAAAAAGTTCAGCAGCCAGTCGAAGTCTCCAATTTTGCAATTTGTTGTTTTGTTACTGAAAATGCTCGAAATGCTGTTTTTTAGTTAGTTTACATTTATCTTAATACAATTCTTAATCTCGAAAATAATAAAACATTTGAGAGGGGCTAAAAAATCAGTATAATACCATTTTTTTTTTAAATAATATACTAAAAAATACTCAAAAACCTATCGATTGCCCTACTATCGGTGGCTTCGCAGCTTAAAATGCAAATGCTTGGTGTAAAATTCGGTATTTTTATACATTCGCAAGATATTCTAATTTTAGTCAAAAGCTTTCTATGTCTTCTTTGGTTTTAATTAAATATATTACATTATGAAAAATTAATATCTTTCTTTAAAGAGTTATTGGTTTTTAATACTATTGCAGGGTATAATTTTTGGCAAAAGCTCGTAATGCTGACCCGTAGTTATTCCGAGAGAATTTAACACAGAAATGCTTTGCGAACTGAAATGAATAGTTTTGATTTAGTTAAGCATTTTTTAAAATTTGATTTGTCCCAAAAGATATCACACAGATCCGCTTGAAGGCCAGAGATGACTATGAAAATGGCCTGAATTAGACGGTTTAAGAGAAAATACAATATTTAATAATACAATTTGTTACACAATAAATATTCGATATATCTTTATGTTATGTTATATATCTATAAAATCAACATGGGCTCTCATCTCACTATTCGCTTGAGGTACACGATTTTCATAATAGTTTTGGTAATGTACATAGTTATTTACAGTAAAAATATACACAAATATTCGCAGATATCTTGCATTTACATAAATTAAATCCGTGGACTGCGTCTATCTTCTTGAAGGGGGCAATAATAATTCGTTGTCGATTTGAAATTTAAAGCGTTTTAGTGTTAAATGTTCGATTTAGTTAAGTTAAAAGGTATATAAGAAATCATTCTAATTTTGAAATATGAGAAAAATAGTTCTAGAAAAAGATAAAAATATAAAAAACTGGGCTACGGATTATGAGTTGGATGTCATTAAGAATAAATATAAAGGATATATTGAATGAATTAGTAGCAAAGGCAATTATAAATTTATCAATTAATTCTCTCAAAATCAACTCGATTAATTTCCATTTCTCAAGTGTCTTTTGCATTTACACAGATGGCGAAGAAACCAAATTTCAAGCGAATGCTAGCTGGCCCGACTCTGTAGACGGGAGCACCTGGAACACGGATAGCTATTGTTGCTGCGACTGCGACACCGGATCTTCCAGCAGCTGTGATGGAAGCAGGCGCCACATCGATCACAGCGATATACTTTTCGTTGCCAAGGGTAAACAAGCTCGCCACCTTTGCAGTGTTCGCAGACAAAGGCACGACCAGTACAGAGCTTGAAAAGTAATAGTAGTAATTAATGAAAAATATTTATATTTTGTTAATCTTTGATTTCAAAACTCACCACACAGTTGCGGACATGTTGTTCACTTAATGCTATTACCTCCTTGATGGATCGATTCATGCTGCTGTTTTGCACGTCCACAAAATCACACATGGACCACATGTCCGGGTCTTGGGTAATGTGAGCAGGAATAACATTGAAGAAGGCTTGCTCTCTTTACGTGAATAAGATGATGATGAAAATGTAGTTCAACAGTTCAACAGTTCGAATTACAAAAGAATTTTAGAGTCCTACTTACCTCTCAGCAAACCGACAATTTGCTATAAAACTTTTGACCGTCTGAAGTTGCTGTCTCCTCCTCCTGGCGGTGGCCAGTTCCTTGTGCTTGTACAGCTGCCCATTAAGATCAGGGACATGAAATAACGGAAAGGCGTACATTTGCTCAATTAGTTTATATGCAAATGAGCACACTGGATAGCACCGGAAGTCCCAGGAGCGTAGAATCCTCGCTGGAATGGCGGATATTTGATTGCGATGACAGCCAGTGCACATGTATTTGCCAAGGTAACTGCAGTAGCGAAAATGCTGCTGAAGATGCTTTGCCACACGCATTCCGCAGCCGGCACAGCGTTGATTCTGCTTGGCGAGCAACTGGGCCCGACTCTCTGTGGGATGTTCGGTGAATATGATTTGCTGGCGAGGCGGTGCCCAACTGGATGTGCCCCTGGTCAGGCTGGATTGCTCGTGATCCTTTTTGGGCATTGGCAGCGGCAGAAGTTTTTGCGGCGCCTCCTGTTCGGAAACGAGCCACTTGAGATGGCTCAATCGTGGCAATTGCTGGTCACTGAAGCGCGATATCAACTGCAGACCCACTGCCTCCGCACTGTGGTTCTCCCCGCCGCCGGCAATCTGCTCGGCATAGGGCATTAGATTTGGTTCCGCTAGATTCCGGTTGCTGGGACTGTGATCTGGTCTTGCCTCCAGCCTACGACTCCACTTCACATGCTCGATGGCTGTGATGCAGGCCTCCGAAATCCGAAAATGGGCATTCTCCTTTTCCAACTGGGTATTGTTGTGCGTCTGTCGGGACATTTGAAGGAAGGAGGCCAGCGATTGCTGGTCCAGCTTATCGCTGCCCGGCGTAATGCTCACCGAACTGGAGGCTGTCGTTGAGGCGGTACTGCTGCTGCTTGCTGCCGCCGATCTTTGGATATCCCAGGGTGCCGATGCTGTGCAGGGAGCCGACGCAGCAGCAGCTGCAGCCTCATCCAGCATGCTGACGCCCTCGAAAAGGGTCTGCTGTTTCTTGAGCTTTCGGCCATTTATGGCCAGGAAGTTGTCTAAGACGCCGCCCTCGCCGGTGGCATTTAGGTCCTCACCTAGGCCCCTCTGGAACCAGCTGGTATACACGGGCGGTGATCCAAATAGGCTGCCCAAGAAACTGCCCACCGACGAGGAAGTGGAGGAGGCTGCTGCTGCTGTTGCTCTCGGTATCTCTTCCATTTCACGGGGCACTTGTTGCTCTTGTGGCGTCAGATCGGTCCAGATTTTAATGTCATCACAGTTTATAAGTTGTATACGTTTATTTGGACTGCCACCGCTGGACGAGCAGGAACTTGTAGATGCCGGGGCATCCACAAAGTCTTCCCTTGGCCGGTGGCTTCTGCTACAGCTGCTGAACGTCTGGCAGCGTCGTCGACTGAAGCCGCTCTCTTCTGGCTCCACTTCCTCGTGCTTTAGATTCGGCAGACTCTTCAGTCGCCGCAGAAAGCTTCGTCTCTGCTGCCTCTGCTCCTCGGGCACGGCCTGGAGCTTGGGCGAGATGCTAAAGTTCGGCTGGGAGCAGGTGCGGCGATGGCGTAACTTATTTCGCACCTCCAATTGTCCAAGCAAACCGCTTTGATTCATCTGGACAGCCGTTAGGCACACAAACAGGGCGGTGGCATCGCTCGAATTACGCAGAAAGGCCTCCTTGCTGGGATAATAAAAGTCCATTAGCTCTGGATCGGAGACTAAGGTCTGCAGGCACTGCGTCAGGCACTGGGCACGCAGCGAACGCTCTGTCCACTGCACAAGGAACTCTTCAGCACCGAATACTACAGCCGGATGCGACTGGGACTGCTGTTGTGATTGTAGCTGTGGCGGTGGTTGTTGTGTCTGCCTTTTGCCTGCACTTGCTAGCAGGAACTCAAAGTCATCCGCCAGTCTCTGCAGCTCCACGGGCAGCAACTGATAAGTCGTGCAAGAGGGAGACCCAACGAGAATGAGAGAGAGTGTGAAAGAGGCGTTGCATAAATACAATTCTTGTTTCTAGTATTCAGTAAAACGAATAGCTAATACCCTTGAATTTCAAGTCTATAACTTCTAGCTACTTAAGTAGCTTGAGTACAGACTGATTTGTGCTAAATCAAGTCGCCTGGTGACGCTCTGATCGATCTATAATTATGTAAATACCGATATCACTGGGAATTCCCATCCCGATCAGAGTGAGTCAGTGGCTACTTCTCCTGCTTGATCTTTGCCATCTTTGGCCTGCTTACCATTCCATGCTGCAGTATCCGGGTGCAGCTCTGCGATAGCAACTGGAATCCGTCCGATGACTTCGCACGAAACCAGAAAATTGTCGATCTTCTCAATTCCGACAGAAGGGAATTTCTTGCCAGGCGTTGTTGTTGCTGTTTTCGCTGCAATTCCACGGCACTTTCCGACGTAGTTGCTACGGCTGTTGCTTCGGTTGCCACGTATGTGGGCGCAGGCATGGCCATTGCTGCACCTGAATTGTCAGTGGGGCGGGGCGCTTGGTGGTCGCATTTCCATTTAGTTCTTCAATGTTTTGCGAATTCTTGTTATTATTATTTTATTTGTTGCGATACTGGCCAGTGTGCCTGTTGCTGCTTTCAACCGAAAATACCGCACTACGCATTTTAGATTTTGTCGGCAAAAGGTCACTCTAGGTATGTGGAAAACTAGAGTTAGCCTAGTCTTAAACCTTTTGGATATTTTGTATATCTAAAGCTGTTATACAAAATAACGTATGTTTAGACATAAACCGTACTAAAGTCGGTTTATAGCAGCTTTGGAGACTTATCAGATCGATAAACTGACCGTTGATGTCTCTTATCAGAAACTTGAGAAACAAATAACTTGGATAAGTTTTCTTTTGTGTTTAATTTTCAATGAACCAGTTTTTTAAGACGTTTGGTTATTTTTATACCCTTTCAAGGGTATTAAATTTCGCTTAGAATTGATTGATTTTTTATATCGAGTATGCAAATTTTGTAACATTAAAAAAACTAACAAAGAAGTGGTTACAGAATTGAAATTAATGCATTTTTGACGTAGTTATGCAATTTGAAAACTTTGATTTTTCCCAAAAGTATCACATAAAATTTTTAAGGGGTTGCATTGTAACATTTTCAATAATTTAAAAAACACTTTTATTTTTACAAATATTTTCTTTGCGGTATGCAGATATTTTAACCTTTCAGAAAACAACACAGAAATGCTTTCCAAATGGAAAGTAATGCTTTTCCGATCGATTTCACATTCGGACCCATTGGTTCTATGGGAACTGCAAGGGTATACACACTTCGGCTTTCTTCCTTGTTTTTTTTTTTTAAACAAAAACACTTAAGCACCACAGTATTCATATATTTTATATATATTTCAACTCTATAGCACTGTTTACGACCTCTTTTTGACTTTATGAGATTATAATTTAATTTTCCTATAACAGATGAACACGATTCGTTAAGATAGTAATTCAATATCTTTAATTATGTTAATTAAAAGAGTGTTCATGGGTTTATATTACTCAGATTGCATCGAATAAAGTCTTCGTTAGTGGACATTCATTCTCTCTCTAGAGTTCTAGAGGGGGAAAACAACTCGTAAGTCATTTCAAACCCTCTAAAGGGTCACAAATCTGGCCAAAATGAAGCCAGGCGTTGAAAGCCAATGCTAATCGACAGCTTTGGATGACCGCAGACAGCGGTGGCAATATTGGTGAGCATTGAAACACGTGACTTGAAATGAGGTGTTAGTGCAACGAAGCAATTGAATTAGCCAGCAAGCCCCCCTGAAGGGTATCCACCGATATCGGAGGTTTACACTTGAAGAAATGTATGCAACAAATGATAATTATTTTGCAAATTAGTAAAATAATATAAGAAAAATTAAAGTGTTGGTAAGTTAACACTCTTGTAATCTCCCATTATTTTAATATATTTAAATGAATTTGTTTGAAAACATTTATTCATTTTATTAAGCTTATTAATAAAATAATAAAGAGGTAAAGAAAATGTTATTAATTTAACACTCTAATTCAATCTTTTTATTGAATATATTTGAATATTTATATATTTGTATTTATTTATTTATATTACTTTCATAATAGAAATAATATTCACTGTATATGACCATATTTGATTGGAATTATTCTTTTAAAGTATAGAAGTAAAATATATCCTTTAGAACCTTTAAATTATTTTATTTAAAGGCAAGTCCTTATATAAAAAGTAAAATCAATTTTTTATATATTTAATTCTGCATATTTTAACCAGAATTTTAAAGGAAAAATACTGACCGCTCAGAAATACACAAACCAAATATACACATTAATTAAAAATCAATTAGTTGATAGATTAGATATATAAATTAAGACAAACTAAATACAGAATATATAAAATATACTAAATATACAATTTCAAATGTATTCTATTGATGAAAAATCATTTCTTGGAGTGCATAGAGCAACAGCAAAAGAACTCTAGGTGCAGGAGTAGGAACGGAAGGAGCGAAAGGCAAATGTAATTGGTTGTGCCCTGACCCCTTGACCCCTGTTAGCTCTCCCATCCCACTCCCCCTGCTGCGAATGAGTTTACAGTTTCGATTACAACGCTGCCCCGATGTGGTCAACAGCCTTAGGGCTTATTTTACCGCCACTTTAGCCAGCTCGAGTGGCAGGTAACTAGGCAGAAGGAAGGATTTTAGGTTCAAAAGATGCCTGCATTGTCAGGTATTATTAATTATTATTATTAATTAATTATTAATACCCTGACTGGCACCACAAATATCTCCTTTAAAATGATAAATTAACCAAAACAACTGTCAGATTGCAGTTGTCATTAATTAAATTATCTTACCAACAATTGCTTGTGAAACGCGTTGAAACTCTTCATTTTAACTATTTGAAAATTAATGTGAGCGGGGAGTTAAGGCTTGGGAGTGAGAATGCTGTGCAACGTGACCTGTCAGTCGTTGACATATTGACTCATCAATTGCTGGCTAACAGCTTTGACAATACTCAAAATGGTAATGACAATTTCCAGCCTCCCCCAAGACAAACCCACAAACCCACCAACTGTCAGCGAAAGGAACTTGGACTCTAAGGACACTTGGAGAAATTTAAAAGCAAGGATTTGGTAGTGGTAATCTGAGAAATTAATTATAAATTATGAATATAATTTTATAATTTGATTAATATTAAAAACTGAAAAGAGCATTAGAAAAAATTATTCGTGTTAAGAGAATATTATTAATTACCTATTAATGCTAGAACAAATTGGGAATTATTGCGACAATTTTAGTATTCAATTATAGATAATTACAGAGTTAATATAATAATAACAAATACACTTTTTTGTTAGTTAGAAAGTCTAGTTTTTGGGAACTATAAAATATATTTATAAACTAGGGTATGCAGGGTATTAAAGCATATAAGAGAGTATATAATGGTTATATATTTTTCAATCATTTTGTATTATAAATCTATAATTAATTATATACTTTGTAGATGAAAATAAATAAATATAATTAATAAACAAAAATGCGTCTTAATATAAGCATTTAAAATTATTAGGTACCAAATTCAGGATACGTTTTCTTTTACTAGGTAAAATATAGCCTACTTATTGACACCTTTTTCCGGGTTTCAAAAACTATTAGTTTCTGTAGCACTCCCGAAATTAATTTCACAGAAAAACCAAAATAAAATCCCTTGCAAATTATATTAGGAATTTGTTTTAAATTTACAAATATTTCTTAATAGAAATATAGTGTAATATTTTGTGCAAGTGCACCAACTGGAGCGGATTAAGACTGCCGAGAGGAGGACAAATTTGAAGCGACTGACGACCGACCATAACAATGGCCAATGTAGTGGAAGAAGCGAAATTTTTATGTTAATGAACACAATTTTTCTCTGTTTACTTGCGCTTGTGTTAAGTGTCGCAAATAAATTCATTAAAGTGACATTTTTCAATTTTAATGAACCTGCCCCATCCCCCCCATGCCGATTTCCTGCTTTGCTCCGCTCGAATAGAGTCGAAATGTAAATGAATGTAACGTCCAAAAGGAATGAATACAAATAACACCCATTACGACGCTGGATAAATGTTAAAATTAAGAAATGAATTACGGCTTATTTATGAAAATCATCAGCGGCCGATTATCGCTCTCTCGAAATCGCAAACACAAAAAAAAACATATACAGTTTTCATACCCATTTATGGTTGATTTCTGGTCTTTATCTGCAAAATATACTCGTAAATAGTTGAGTGTTTGACAGTGGCCACTGTCGAGATGTTATCGATAAAGCTTTTGTCATTACGCTGCGAATTTATTCGCCCCGTTGCGCAATTATCAAACATGTCATTGTTCAATCGCTAAAGTTTTAATTGCTCTCCGCTGTTGAGAGTTGTTATTATTGTTCCAAAGGATAAAAGGTATTGTCACTATGTGTGTCATTTTCCATCATGTTAGATTTAAGTTTTCATATATACTGGAAAATAAAAGAAAATTAATTTAAGCTACACCTACTGGGAATGCACATATCTATATCAAGTGAAAGTGTACAAAATGATATATTCCTAAAGCTAATTACTATACTGAAAATATCATAAACACTGATATATCGAAAAATCAATATCACTGAAAAAAAAATAGCTGAAAATTGAATTTGATTAGTTTTTCTAATTTTAAAATACATTTTTATAATATTTTATAATTATATTGCTTCACTATAAAGCTAAATAAATATTAACATATAGTTTTTGGGTCGAATATCAATACAGTATCGGTATATTCTTATTTTCTGGTATCCATATTCAATAAAAATAAAGAAAATATCGCAGTTTCATATAAAGAAACTTTAAATATATAAAAAATGACAATATTATTCATATAATTTGTTTTGTTAGATGATAATAGACGAAGGTACAATGTAATATTTATTTATATTTATACCAACATATTTTATAACCTATTTATATGTATTTTAATCATATTAACTACAATTAAATACAGATCTTATGGGACAGTTCCATATATTAATTTTAGATTATATCAATATATTATCCTAAATATTACGCTTTCTAAAAATATATACACTGCGCGTCATCAGATTAGCGCCCCTGAACATTCTCGGGTAATGTCCAATATTATCCAAACTATCAAGGCTAAAGCTATACAACTTTTTTTGACGATACTTTTAATAATATTCTTCAAAATAAGATAAGGTACATAATGATAAGTATAACAATAATATTTTATTTATTTGAAAAGAAAATGTATACCAAAAATATGAATTTAATTTTGCGTCATCAGATTAGCGCCCCCTGCTTAAATTTAATGAATTTTCACTTAATGCTTAACAACTAGTAGTGCTTTATGTTTTATCTTATTATTTACTTATTTTCTAATCAAATTAATAGTGGGTGGTCCCGCCCCCATTTTCCAGGACCTGACAGATCCTGCTGGGAAGTGACTCGTACAATTTCTCAACGTATTGTAATGATATTGAAGACCAAGCTTCTTTAATCCCGTCGATGAGCTCCAATTTGTACTATACTGCTTTCCAGACTCGTATACTTTTCTCGAGAGCCATCCCCA